AGTTGCGAGAAGAGTAACACTTAAACACAATACTCAGAAGGCATGACCTCGTTTTGCAAGCTGTGCAATCCAGGCTGAAAAGTTTTAATGGGTCCTTGGAACGGCACAGAGAAATCTGCTGAAGAGAAAGCGGAGGGCTGATCCTCTCTCTCTCTCTCTCTTCCCTCTGAAGAATCACACTCCTACAGGAATTGTGATGACAAAGGCGAAGAGCTCACAAGGCCTTGATGGATTCCAATCAGGTGTCAATGGCATTGGCACACACCTTTGGTACACACGGTGTGCATCTGTAGCGTTTTCCAGGAAGTCAATGTGGGGAGGAATCCAGCTGAAAAATACAAATGCAGTTTCCTCCTCGTTTTATATCTACAGTATATCACAGAAGTGAGTATACCGCCTCACATTTTGTAAATATTTAGGTATATCTTTTCATGTGAAAACACTGGAGAAATGACACTTGGCCACAATGTAAAATAGTGAGTATACAGCTTGGATAACAGTGGAACCTGTGAAACTCTGGTGAGCCCTATGCCTAAGAGGGTTAAGGCAGTGCTGGAAAATAATGGTGGCCACACAAAATATTGACACTTCGGGCCCCATTTGGACATTATCACTTAGGGGTGTATTCACTTTTGTTGCCAGCAGTTTAGACATTCATGGCTGTGTGTTGCGTTATTTTGAGCGGACAGCACATTCACACTGTAGCCAAGTGTCATTTCTTCAGTGTTGTCCCATGAAAAGATCTACTTAAATATTTACAAAATGTGATATACTGTATGAGATGCGGGTCTCATGTCATGAATTTTATCAGGAAGTGTGACAGAAGTTCCTAAGGGTGACCGGTACTGAAGCAGAGGAAGAAGAGGCACATAATGTTTCCAGTGTTGGGAAGTTGGGCGCCATTGCTTATGTTGCCACAAGAGCACCAACTACATGCAGGGCGTGGAGTGGGAGGGGAGAGAAGCCCTGTCAGCTTAAGAAATGTCAAGGTTGGTAAATGTATCAACACACCGCTAAATAAACATGAAGGGGAAAGAAGAAAACCACTTCAGAGAGGATTTGCCAGGCTCCAAATGCCAAGTAAGACACGCCAGGATTCTTCCAAGCAAATTTCTTTATTTGCCTATAGACAGAATCTTGCCAAAGTAAAACAGACTCCATCAGCAAAAAGCATATACTCTGAGAACTGTTAAGGAGGCATGGTCTTCACCCTCTTTCTCTTACACAATAGCACTTAAGATTTATATACCGCTTCATAGTGCTTTACACAGCCCTCTCTAAGCGGTTTACAGAGTCAGCATTTTGCTCCCAACAATCTGGGTCCTCATTTTACCAACCTCGGAAGGATGGAAGGCTGAGTCAACCTTGAGAACTAAACTGTTGAACTGCAGGCAATTGGCAGAATTAATCCTCAGTACTGCACTCTAACTATTGCGCCACCACGGCTGTATCTGATCTGAAGTTGTCTCTCTTCTGGAATTCACTCCTGGGAATCCAGACTATAATTTATCACAGGATATTTAGGGGTTGATGAATGCTGGCTAGATAGAAAGAAAGGAGAATGTTTAAAAGAGAGTGAAGGAAGAATAGAACAGAATGGCAAACTCAACCCTACAAGGTCTGTTTGCATAATTTCTTTAAAAAACAGTGCACAGTTATCTTTTGTTTCTCTAGATGCAAGCTTTGGAAAAAACAGTAATTATGCAATTATATCTGTTTAGAGGGGAAGAGGAAGGGCCCGGGCTTCATGTGGCCTTGTTATCTCCAATTTTGGTAACCCTGACTCCCAGACCGTCTGATTCAGCACCACTGAATTTTCCACTGAAGGCAAGAACCATATAAGACAGGGGTCCCCAAACTTGGCAACTTTAAGACTTGTGGGCTTCAACTCCCAGAATTCTCCAGCCTTAAATTCTCCAAGTCTTAAAAGTTGCCAAGTTTGGAGACCTCTGATATAAGAACTGTAATCTGAATTTAAACTAAACTTCACGGTTGAAACAAAACAGCAGCGACAAAGAAACAGTTCAACTCCTTCTTTTGCTCAGCAAACAACATCAGGGAAAGAAAACGTGATATCCTAACTTCCCAAACATTTATGATGTAACGATTCAGCTTACGCAGCTTCTGACTTTTCCAAACACATCATCCCAACCCTAGGATAGCAGAAATTATCCATGTCAGTTTTTTCTTTTTCTTTTTAAAAAAAGAAGCAACTGGATTTTTTTTTTAAATTCAGAAAAGTTATTGCAAATGCTCAAGACTTTGCCACTATTTGCCCATCTTCACAAGTGATGAGGAATGCCACATCTCATCCTGGCAGTCTAAGCTAAGTTCTTGCATGCTCAGTCCTGCAAGCATTTAAATTTAAATACATACATAAATAAATAATATGCTCCTTAAGAGTCTGTGAAGATGGATATCTTATTCATTTGAGCGATTTGTATGCCGGTCAAAGCTACATTCAGCTCCTCCTCCTTCAAGGCATCTAGCCCTATAACCAGAATTTAATTTGGTTTCATGCATGCTTGAACTGGGGTGCTACACAAATTAAAAACTGCAGAGGTGTCTTAGATCACAAGCTTCTTATCCTTCTCCGGCCTATTATTCTTCAAAGTTGTGTGTGTGTGTGGGGGGCGGGGTTACGTCTTCCAGAATTCCTAATCTTGAAGACTATGCTGACTGAAAATTCTAAAGGTTTTTAAAAAATGTTGGAAGTCATTGCTTCCCACCCGCTTTCTCTCTTACCTTGCACCCCCCTCTTCCCTTCCCTTTCCCTTCCCCTTCATTCCTGTATTGTTTTTCTTTCTATTTGTGTTTTATATTATAATAGACTTCAATTTAAAAAAAGAGAAAGAAAGAATTTTGAATACTACGTAATATGGGATAAATGGTACGAGTGGCTAAAAAGAGGTACAAAGATTAGGAGGAATAGTTGATTGCAAATAAAGTAAGAGACCTTAAGAGATTGTTCATGTGGATATCTTTATAGTAAGTAATATAAGATATATGTGTTTGTTGATATATACAGTAGAATAAGACATATAAGACGTAGATATTTGTAGATGTATATAATAATGATGTATATAACAAGTTACATAAGATATATATATTTGTCGATGCCAAAATGCTGTCACAAACATGAATGAGATTTGTATTTTTTAAAAATGTAATCAAAACGATTTATAAAAAAAAAAAAAATTAAAAAAGAGAAAGAAACAGCTTCTAAAAGAGATCACAAAGTCGTGTCGTAAAATAGCTCCTGTTATCAGGCTTACAAATAAAGCAGAGCAGGGATTTGTCTGGGATAATCCAGGTGGTCCTCTATTGACAACAGTTCACTTAGTGACTCTTCAAAGTTACAACGGCGCTGAAAAAACTGACTTATGAACATTTTTTTCACATTTTATGACCGTTGCAGCATCCCTCGTGGTCACGTGATTTCCATTCAGAAGCCTGATAACTTGACTCACATTTATGACGGTTGCAGTGTCCGGGGGTCAAACGTGATCCCCTTCTGGCAAGCAAAGTCAACGGGGAAGCCAGGTTCACTTAACAACTGTGTGACTCACTTAACAACTGCAGTGATTCACTTAACAAATGGGGCAAGAAAAGCCATAAAATGCAGCAAAACCCACTTAACAAATTTCTCGCTTAGCAACACAAATGTTGGGCTCCATTGTGGTCGTACATCAAGGGCTACCTTTCATTCTCAAACTCTCTTGCAATATGTCACATGGGCTGGGGTCAACCATCACTAAAGCCTAGAACAGGGATGGCGAACCTCTTGGTTGTGGTGTGCTGAAAGTGCGCGCACATGCTAGCACCAATGCAATGTGCCACGCCCGCCTGCGCATGCGTGCGCAACACCTCCACCCCGCCCCTTTACCTGCACTGGGCATGCACACGCCTCCCAGCTGATTTTCGGCCCGTTTGGGGCTGTTTTCGCCCTCCTGGAGACTTGAGGGAAGCCTCTGCAGCCTTGGGAGGCCGAAAAATGGGCCTTCCGGAAATACCAGAACTGCCCATTTTTAGCCTCTGCAGGGCCTCTGGAGCCAGTGGGAGGCCGTTTTCGCTCTCCCAGAGGCTCGAGAGAAGCTTCTGGAGCCTCGGGAGGCTGAAAACGGGCCCGTTTCGGCACTTCCGGTAGGCCTCTTTTTCGGCCTCCCAAGGCTGCAGAGGCTTCCCTCGAGCCTCTGGGAGGGTGAAAATGGCCTCAAACGGGCCGAAAATCAGCTGGGAGGTGCACGCATGCGCAGTGCAGGTAAGTTTGACTGGGGCTTGCGTCCCCACACAAATGGCTCTGTGTGCCACCTGTGGAACACATGCCATAGGTTCGCCATCGTGGGCCTAGAATATTGGAAGCACCAGGTTACCGTTCCTGATCCAATGTATCTGTACAGATAGTCCTGGATTTACAACCATTCGTTTTAGTCCCTGTTCAAAGTTACAACGATGCCGAAAAAACTAACTTATGGCTGGTTTTCACACTTACAACATGGCAGCATCCCCATGGTCAGGTGATCATAAATTCAGGTGCTCGACCCCCGGCATGCATTTATGAGGGCTGCACTGTCCTGCGGTCATGCGGTCACCCTTTGTAACCTTCAAGTCAATGGAGGAAGCCATATTTACTTAACAACCACACGATCCACTTAATGACTATAGTGATTTAGCAAAAAGAAAAGTTGTAAAATGGGGAGCAACACATTGAACAGCTGTCTTGCTTAGCAACGGAAATTCCGGGCTCAGTTGCAGTCGTAAGTCGAGGAATAACCTCCCCTATGTCATAATTACAGATGAGACACTCATCTACTTCAGAATCGATGTTGATTTCAAAAGGGAGTTATACCCCATGAAGCACATATCCATGTAGTGTGTTGGCCAAACAAAGTAGTTCCTAGATTCTACTTTCAGACCGTACTTCCTGTCCAAGTCTTGGAAAGAATTAAACTCGGTAAATACAAAAGGTTTTCCTTTTTATGGAATCCTTGGTTACTTACGTGCTTTGGGGGAAGAAGTATCTGAATTCAGGCTGCTGGCAGTTTCTCCTTCCAAGATGGCCTTGTCCCTCTTCTCCTTCTCTGTCGTGGGAACGGGGGAGGGGAGAGGAAAGGACACAAAATCTCATCAGTTTCTCGGTCGGTTTTAAGACCACAATCCACAGAACTGCATTATAACCTACAAGAGGGTAAACCTGGTGAAAGAAAGAAAGAAAAGATCTCTATTTTAGAAAGGGAGGGTAATGGAAAGAGAAAAGAAGGAAGGAAGGAAGGAAGGAAGGAAGGAAGGAAGGAAGGAAGGAAGGAAGGAAGGAAGGAAGGAAGGAAGGAAGGAAGGAAGGAAGGAGGGGAGGAGGGGAGGAAGAAAGGAGACAGAGAAGGAAGGAAGGAGGGAAGGAAGGAGAGGAAGGAAGAAAGCAGAGGAAGAAGGAAGGAGAGGGAGAAGGAAGGAAGGAAGGAAGGAAGGAGAGGGAGAAGGAAGAAAGGAGGGAAGGAAGGAAGGAGAGGGAGAAGGAAGGAAGGAAGGAGAGGGAGAAGGAAGGAAGGAGGGAAGGAAGGAAGGAGAGGGAGAAGGAAGGAGAGAGAGAAGGAAGGAGAGGGAGAAGGAAGGAAGGAAGGAGAGGGAGAAGGAA